AAATATAAACATGTGATGTTTGCACCCTGAGCACATCGGAGTCTGATCAGCTACCGAGATGTGCGTACTAATGGTTATCACCTCTCGACCGCCACTTTAAATAGAAAAGAGGTTTTGGTTCTTATAAAGAATCATAAAGTTGTTGAAAAAGCTTTTGCTACAGAAAATGGTTTATACTAAATTATGATTCGGCCTCCTATTATATTTAATTTTGCATCATCTATCTCAGAGAGTCGTGTTTCTCTCTGGCATGGACGATTGGGACATCCAGGATCCACATTATTTAGAAAGATCATTCCATGTATAACTGGGCATAATTTAAAGCTTGCAGATGTAGACTCTATGGAACAATGTTGTGCATGCGTGCAAGGTAAAATGATTACTCGACCTTCAATTTGAAAACTTCTACAAGAATTACCACCAATGCTTGAAAGATTGCATAGTGATATTTGTGGTCCTATTAATCCAATATCAAGACCATTTCGTTATTTTTTGGTCCTTGTTGATGCATCAAGTAAACAATCACATGTTTTATTATTATCAACTCAAAACATGGTGTTTGCCAATCTTATATCTATGCTTATTTGCTTTCGGGCACATTTTCCTGATTATCCTATAAAAACATTGCGTATGGATAATGTAAAAGAATTTGCATCAAAGTCTTTTGAAGACTATTGTACTGCAATAGGAATCGAGTTGACATATTAAGTTCTATATGAACATGCTCAAAATGGACTTGCAGAGTCATTTATAAAATGTATACAACTCATTATCCGACCACTCCTCCTTCATGCAAATCTATCTGCATCTATATGGAATCATGCAGTTTTACATACTAAAGCATTAATACGCCTCCGCCCTTCTTCTCTTAAATTTTTTTCACCACATGAGCTCATTTCGGGTCGTGTTCCAAATATATCTCACTTACAAGTATTTGGTTGCCATGCTTGGATTCCAGTACCAAAACCTCAATGGTGTACCATTGGAGCTCATCGACAAGAAGGCATATATGTTGGTTTTGATTCACCAAGCATTATTCGTATTATTGATCCATCAACTTTCACATTATTACGTGCATGTTTGCAAAATTGTCGTTTTGAAGAAACTGTATTCCCATCTCTTCAAGGAGGAGTATCCAATCAACAAAGAAATAAAGTATTTATATTTGAAGCACCAGAAACATTTACAATGAATCTCGATCCTAGGACATCTTTGGCAAAAACTGAAGTTGCTAAGTTTTTACATTTAAAACGGATCACGGATGAAACACCTAATGGCTTCAATGATGCACCTAGAATTACAAGAGTTCCTATTAATGAGGCTCAGAATGCACCTGCTTAGATTGCAATGCCATTGACTACAATTCCTCAAGTTATAACAACAACAGCTAAAAGAACTGATGGACTAGATAAGCAACCACGTAAGAAGAAAGCTATAAAATTAACTAATCTTGGTATCATTTCTCAAGAAATTGCCACTCATCTTGCAGGACTACCAATTCATGATGATATATCCATGCATAATGAATTTCAATTCTTATGAAAAATAATCTTGGAATTGGAAGGAATAAGAACAAGTTGAGTAAAGAATTATCTATTCTATATTGTGCTACAGATGATATTTGGGACAGACCATCTATTACGGTAGATGAATCATTTGCATATATGATTATAGAAGCCCTTTCTTATGAAGAAGACGATCCTGAACCTCAAACCATCGAAGAGGCGATTCGTTGCTCAGATTGGTTAAAATGGAAAACTGCTATTGAGGAGGAGTATGCCTCTTTGCATAAGAGAAAAGTCTTTGGTCCAATTGTAGACACTCTTATATCTTGCCCTGTGGGATATAAAATGATATTGATATGCAAGCAAGATGCTCAAGGCCAAATAACCCGCTATAAAGCTCGTCTTGTTGCTCAAGGATTTACTCAAAGATTTGACATTGATTATGAATCCACATATTCTCCAGTCATGAATTCAATTACATTTCGATATATTATTGGAATGATAGTTCATGCCACCCTTAAGATGCATCTGATGGATGTAGTAACTACATATTTATATGGTTCTCTTGATGCAAATTTTTATATGAAAGTTCCAGCTAGCTTAGAAACAGGAACTCCAAATCCACCCGCTCCATGAAAATATTGTGGTATTAAATTATGTAAGGCCTTGTATGGTTTAAAACAATCCGGACGAATGTGGTATCAACATCTTCGGGATTATTAAATTACAAATAATTTTATAAGTGATCCACTAATCCCTTGTTTGTTTATCAAACGAGATAAAACTCGTTTTGTGATCATCGCTATATATGTTGATGATCTTAACCTAGTGGGCACTACATCTGCATGTGTTACAGCTACTAACCTACTTATACGTGAATTTGAGATGAAAATGCTAGGAAAAACAACTTTCTATATTGGTCTTCAGATTATGCATCTAACAGATGGTAGCATTTTTCTCTACCAACTAACGTATATTAGACGAATCTTGCAAATATTTAATATGATTGATGCTTATCCATTGTCCACACCAATGGTTGGATGTGGTTGTGATGTTCATGATCCATACCGTCCATGCGAGGAAGAGGAGGAAATATTGGGAGACCAATATCCATACCTCGCAACGGTTGGAGCACTTTTATATTTAGCTACATCTACAAGACCAGATATTACATTTGCAGTTAGTGTTCTTGCAAGACATAGTGCACGTCCAACACTATGACATTGAAATGGCATCAAACATTTATTACATTATTTAAAAGGTAGTGAAGACTTCGGATTATACTACACAAAATCTGCAGATCCAAAATTGGTTGGATATTGTGATGCAAGATATAAATTTGATATTGCAACAGCTAAATCTCAAACAGGATATGTATTTTTAAGACATGGAGCTGCAATATCATGGAAATCAGTGAAACAAACAATAATTGCAACTTCATCCAACCATGCAGAAATTATTCCCTTACATGAAGCATCTCGAGAATATATTTGGTTGCGATCAATTGATAAATTCATTCAAACAACCTATGGATTTTCATATGATAATTCTCCAACTATCTTGCATGAAGATAATAGTGCTTGTATTGTACAGATGCAAGTTGGTTTCATTAAAGGCGATAGGACAAAGCATATTGATCCAAAGTATTTTATTTATACTCATGACTTGATTACTGATCAAGCACTTATAATTAAGAAAATTGAATCTACAAATAACCTTGCTGATCTCTTCACCAAAGCTCTCCCATTAAGCAACCATCGTCGACTTTCTTATGGCATTGGTATGCGGCGACTTGCTTTTCTTGAATAAGAAAGTTAATGAGCTCTTTAAATAATTAAAAAAAATGATATTGTACTCTTTTTCCTTCATCTATGGTTTTGTCCTTAAATAAAATAAGGTTTTCTTAGATAAGGTTTTAATGAGGCAATAATTGTTGATTTCGCAAGATCACAGAAAAGTATAGATCATAATTCTATAAAAATTTTATATTATGTAAATATTTTGATGAGCGAGGAGGAGTGTTGAGATCATTAAATGTAGCCGACGCTCTCCATAATATTTACTGTAGACTACAGTAATTACCATAGCTACAATATTTAGAATCTAGTAGAGAAGTACTATTTATCCTCTCCTCTTTTCTCTTCTTGTATATGAGACACAAATATATGAATAGATTTGTGTGTGTGTATGACTTACTATTACTCTTGTGCCATTCTAAACATTCTCAACAATAACCTAATAACAATCTGCTGTCTTCAACACCTAACTCCGACACGATTAAAAGGGGCTGGCGAAGATGGGCCCTTGCCTCCTCCGCTTCTAAGACTGCCCATTTTCATGACGCCATCTACTTTTCATCTGTTCCCATCTACGTTCATCCATATGGAGTTGTTTGAACCCAAGTTCCTTGCTTTGTAGCCATTCCAAAACCTCTCGCTTTTTATGTACTAAATAAATCCGGTTGTAATGTAGTTCAAAAAAAAGATAAATATACTTCTTGTATAAAACAGCTTAGGAAGTAAACTAGAGGCGACAAAAACCATCTTTAATTAGTTACATTTCTCATTGTTTTTATAAAAAGAGAAGCAAATGTGAAGGGATCAATTAGAGATCAAATTTTGCATATTGTTATTGTAGGGTACTAGGTTTAGAAGCTCCCAAACATAATTTTGAGTAAATCTTTTTCATGGCCAATAGCACGAGTTTCTCTCTCCATATATATATACATATATATATTGAATTTTTTAATGTGTCAGGCATTAAAATTACTTTTTTTTATGTATTTTTACTATTGAAAGTAAAAAAACAGATGATATTTTTTAAATGTGTGTTGATATGAAAAAAAGAAGTATATATTGACATACATTTGAAGTAGGATGGAATTCCATCAAAACCAAATTCATTTGATTCATTCCAAATAGAGTCAAACTAGATTAGAAAAGTCCAGAATATTTTTCCCGACTATATTTAACTTACAAGTAGCAACGAACAGTAAAAATTTACTTTAGAAATTACCTTATACAATCATTCCACATTATACTGCAGCAAACTATTATTATTTTATTATTTGTGGTGGTTGTACTCTTCAAGTCTACACACGATAACTTGGAAGATCACAACGAAAATAGAAAAAACAGAAAAAATAGTTGAGATGCAGCAACGATTGTTGATAACACCATGCTCTACCAAAATATACAGTAGCTGACATTCTAATCTTCAACTACAACCTCAAGCATCCCGAAATTGTGACTTCTAAAGGGTCTAATCTGTGTCATATAGAAGGTTATCTTTTGCTAAAAAAGGGTAGAAACAATGAAAAGCTCATACGATTCCAATTCCAAGCTCATAGGCGGGTAGTTTAAATGAGTGTGGTGCTCCAAGCTACAAATCATCCAACTGGTGCCCTTGATAGATAGTTTGCACAAGATGAGACAATCTGACTCTCAACAAGACGAAGGTTGCCACAAGTTGAAACGTATCACCAAAGACCCATAATCAACGAACTCAATTGGTCGTCAGATACCCACAAGTGAACAAGCTCTGCGATTTTGCAATCTGTCCATTTACAATGCTTCAACTTCCAGTTACTACTACGAATTGAATGTAATGTCGGGAAGACATTCCGAGTCCTGAGTGTACCTATCAAGACCGTTTAAGAATTAGTAAAACCCCTTTAGGGGTTCGTCTACCAGAAGGGACTGCTCTATATGAAGTAAAGAAAAAAAGAAAAAAAAAATCTCTTAAAACTGGATTGGTAAGAGTAGCTAAAGAACCAATCAAATGGGGTGCAACCTCCAGCATGAGAAGTGTGACATTCGAACGCCTTCACTATGCTGGAAACTCCAGTAATTCCGCGTTTCAGCTACAGCAGCACAGGAAAACATTGCCAATCCTTGACCGCTAAATTGCACGGCGCTTCATATCAGATGGTTGTCTGCTGCGAGAAAGCTTTTTGTAGCTCTTCAAGACAGGGAGAGAGAAAGAGAGCAAGAACTTCCCAAATGTGGGTACGCTAAAGAAACCTCAAGTAGCAATGTCCCAACCACTTATTGTGGGCTAAAACACATTTTGCACTCGCCTCCCTAGTAGCAGTTTGTGGTTGCGTGCCTCAACATAGAAACGAATTTGTTGTCAAGGGGTTTGATAAAAGCCCAAACAGCGAACCTTTAAACTCAGCAAGGGGTACTTCTATGACCTATCAATTAAATGAGAGCCTGCATGCCAGCTTGCTGCATCTCTCTTAGTTTCCACCGCGTATGAAATTCTCCACGATTCGTCTCCTCCGGACTCTCTTGTTGCATGGCCCAAGCATAAAACACAGTGTGAATGTCATCCTACAAAATGACAAGGCAGAATCAACCCAGGGTTCGTGTTGTATTACCTTGAGCACAAATATTCTACCCATACCAGACACACAATACAATAACCTCCAAATTTACGACCAAATAAAGCCTAAGCTGTAATGTTGACCACCGAAATTCGATACAAATCTTCTGCCTCATCACATTACGTGTTATATGAGAAAAGTTTAAAATAAAAGTTACAGAAGGAGCATGACATAGAGGAAGTTTTGGCGTACCCTAGCTCCCTCAATTATATTTCCATCCTTGTTCCGAGCGCAATGAATTTGCTGAGTTTGAAACTGCCACGAAGTAAAGTAATCAACGGCAATATAACATAGATGTGTTTCCTGAAGTCTCTTCGGGCAACAGTACGAAAAGACGTGGCATTCGAAGAATTGATGATTCCTCCGAATAAATTAAAAACACACAGCCAATAACCAAAAACCTTCCAAGTCATGTTTCACAAGTCAGATAAACTATGGGTAGCACCGTGGCAAACTGAACTAAAGAGAATACATACGTGATGTGAGTACTTACATTGATTATAATAATAGGTGCGTTTCCCAACAACTTGGTCTCCTTTATCTCAACATCAGAAATATGTAAAATCTGTGCACATGCGAAGAAACACAGACCTGTTGTTAAATTCATCTAGAAAGTTTGTTCTGTATCACGCAAGCAACATAATATGAAGGTTCTGTTGTACGCAATTATGATAGCAGCCATCAAAACGTGCCAGTGCACAAATCGGTGAAAGAAGCATACCTCATTATCCAAGAAGATTCCTTGACTCTCTAATGCCCTTCTCTCTGCTTGACATCGCTCTACCACCTCCCTACTACACTTCTTTCTCAAAGTGGCAAAATCACCCTGATACAAAAGAAACACTTGATTTGATAAATACACTGCGTAAGACAGTACGGTATAAAAGCATTGCTTTAAGCTATTTCCTACGAAAGAAGATCTTTACCTTAAGATAAGCTCGAAGTGTAGGTCGTATCTCTTCTTGAACTTCAGCAAGAAAATCTGAAAACGTAAATGATCTGCATCAAGCTCCAGTATTTCAGATTAGTAATCCAAGGAGCTAGCATGCATGTAGTGACAACCAAAGTGAGGCACAGAGAAGCAGGAGGCAATCTTCTTCCTCCCTCGAACAGTGTTGACTATGCAGGAGCTCATAAGAGTACAGAGTGGAGGCTCTAAGTGCATTTAGGGACTCCACAACAGAACAGAACAAAAGATTGCTAAGAACTCGGTACGTCATCAAGCTACAAGATACCTCTTCGCTACCTCGATAATACTTCCCATTACCGCTGAAAATGACAAAGGTACTGCCATTAATGCATGTTGCAAATCAAATCAATCGATGCAATTATAACAACAAGCAAGCCATGAGAATACTTACGGGTCATGACGACGGATCTCGCGCATAGCTACAGCAGTCGCTGTTTCACCAAAAATGGATTCATTTAAACTGCAGAAAACGTAAAACGCATCACCACATCATTCTCCCTTCTACACTAGGACACTATCTGACCTAATTCGATTGAGCATTGGTGTCAAATCAAAATTTATTGATTACTCAAGATCCAAGATACATCTTTAGAAGCGAGACAGGTTTTCGTAAGCTAGAAAGCGCAAAGGAACTCTAATTGTGTCTTTCAAAGCTTTAATAAATGCATTCATGCAGTAAGAACAGACCTTTCGCTGTTTAGTCTAGAGATATTGCAGTGACTAAGACACCACACCATAATAATAGATCCGTAATTACATCAAAAATTCTGGTAAGTGAATAAGAGCACTTACTCTTGAATTCTGTGAACTACAGGACTGTCGCTGGTCTCCCATCTTTCCCGAATGTCCTCGGCCAACTGAGAAAAATATGCGAAATAAGAATTCAGCTAAAATTATGAACATCGGTTGCTCTTCACGTACATAGCACACCAGTTCATAGATAGACTAAGAGTAAAAGTCTTGACAAGGATGAGCGTGCCACAGGTGAACCAGATCTTTAACCATTTACTATTTACACACCAAATTATACACACTATGACGCAATTACCCTGCTTGATTACAGTACGTCTAGATTTCGAATTCAAGTCAGATTATATTCGATAAAAGAATCTTAAACACCCTGAGCAAGGAGCTTACTTCTTGACCCTTGGTGACCACCGGATGGTCGGTGACAGTCTTGATTCGCTTGAAGGCTGGGTGTGATCTTGCCTATAAAAGGTCATCTGATTAGTCCATCTGCAACACTCAATTTCACAAACACCCTGAACAGTAGAAATGATCACATCACTGGAGAATCATCGAGGTCTCTCACCTTCTCTTTCAGAGTCTCCCATCTCTTCTCCCACCCAGTAGTCTTTTTAACAACCGGAACTATAGCGTTAACAGTGGTATTCTCAGGAGGAGCTTCACGCACACGAGCATCCTCTGAGGCAGAAGTATTAGGTTTCCTCCGTGGGGTGGTACTGGTCATCTCCTCTTTCAGAAAATTGTACCCTGTCCTCACAGAATCCACTAACTTGGCTTCTTTCATCTTGTGAACGACATTTCCTGCAGATGACGCAGCATTCCGAACTGAATCACTAACTTTCTTCAATAAAACCCTCGAAGTTGGAATACTGGAGGAAGAGGAAGACGAGGTTTCATTGGAACTCTGCGATGGCTGCTTCTCAGACTCTCCCGCTCTACTTGAAAAATGTAAAACGTCCAACATAGGCGACGATGACGCAGAGGGCACCAGCTCATAAAATTGAGGCAGCACTCTAATCCTGTCAATGACATGTTGCCCGGTCAGGCTTCTCCCAACACCAGGCGACACCAAGGAGGAGGAAGTCGAAGGGAGCCCATTCCCATGCAATAACAACAGTTTCCTCGTCAAGATGGTAGCCGCGGCTCCTCTACCATTCAAAGCCTTCCCCGTCCTTTGGGACAACTGCCGCAGCGCCATGGCAGCTGTTGCACCCAATCCCAACCCACAATTCCTCACAACGCACAAAGGTCGCTAACCATACAAAGCTGTAGAGGAATTGATTTTGGCAAGGATTGTGAAGACCTCAATGTGAGGAAAAAAGAATAAAGAAAAACACCAAACCCTAACCCTAATCACCAAAACCTTGTCCCTCCCATTATGTGATCGGGCTCCAGTGCAACTACAGTCCCTGCTGGACCCTGATTGCGCCTTAGGCCTCTGCGGTGAAGCGCGCGAACGGCTCCCTCCTCGAAACTTCCGAACTTAATCTCAATCCATCTTTCGCACCAGATTTGCCACGTGTCAATTTCGTCTCCTCTGATGAGGGTTTGTGATTGGATCATGGCCATGTATTTCATATTAGATAAGAATGAAATCGAATCACTCCATTATATGACTTTTGTTTTTTTGGACAACCCACTTTTAGATTAAAAATTACTTGGTTGGTATACATGGCTTCGAGAACCACTACACATTGTGTTCAATTGTTGAGCGGACAAAGGATTCTAGCAACATGATTGGTGAGAAAGGAAAAAAAAAAAAAAAAAAAAAAAAAAAAACATTGACTCCTTGGCTTTCACACTAGAAGCAAATGGTCAATAGATGTTATAATTGAAAGTGCCTACATGGCAACGCTTTATGGCAGTTTTCAAGTTAAGGAGTTGTCTGCTTGACAAGAAATTGGGTTTGACAAGAAATTGACAATAAACTCAACTTACATTAATATTCAGTTGGTTAAAAACAAAACTGCATATTAGAAATTAAGATAGTGTGCATGTATACTCTAAATATAGCATCAACAATATTTTCTAAACCAACATTGTTTTGTGTTTATTCAAATCATGAAATTGTAGAAGTTATAAAATTCTAAAGTCTTTTGACATAATGGTTAAAAAGTATTCAAAACTTCAACTTGAGTTTGTTGCAGAAGTGTATTGTGCAATATATTAGTTCTATAACATGTAAAATCCAATTATTATTTTACAAATTAGAGCCTTAATTTGGAGCAAGATTGTTTACTTAGATGAATGAGGATCTTTATTTGTACATTAGATTGATACATTGACTTGAATGGAGTAATAATTGCATGCAAATGTTGTAGAATTTGATTTTCATTATCATATCAAAAGTCTTAATAATGATTATGATTTATTTAATATGTGGTTTTGTAGAAGTATTATTGGATGACATAAAAAATACTATTTGTGGATGATTTGTTGATATAGTGAATAGAAATACAATGAATATGCACAATATAAAGTTCTACAGTGCTACTTGATAACACTAATCTCTCTCTCTCTCTCTTGCTATATATATATATATATATAAAAACACATATACATGCACATGTTTTCTAATATTTGTTTTGAGAAAAAATATCATTATGTCACTTATAGGTTTAATTCTTACTTGCAACACCATTTAATCTTGTCAAATCATTTGTTACTAAATTAATTAGGATAATCTTTCTACTTTTAGTCTAAAATTAAACAATATCATAGTACCTAGTAAAATAAATGATTTATGTATATAAGTAAATACTTATGAATAGAAAATTATAAAAAATCAATATAACTATTCAAAAAAATTTATGTATTAATTTTGATGTTATAATTTTTATATTTATATTCTTAATTCATTAATTTATATACATTCTAAATTTAATTATAATTAAAATGCACCTATACATCTCTTTTGTAAATACATTTATATTCCACTTTAGATTCTTTGTTAAAATTCACTTGTAAAACTACTTTTTTCAAATAAAGTTTAGTACGTTGTTCCATACATCAACATGTTTCTTATAGCCATACTATTGATTGGTTCAAGATATTTAGTTGCATTTGAAGGTATTCAAAGATATTTTGAGTTGTATAATTTAATATGGTATCTGTATCATTAATAACTTATTGATGCTATAACAAGAGTATTTCTAATTTTAGTTTCCGACATTAATTTTTTTTACAATATATAAAACAAACTCAAGACATACAAGCAAGGATAGCAATTTTGTTATTAACTCATTTTCAGCTCCTAACATCTTTTACTTTATCAAATGAATAACTTGTCAATTTTCTTAGAGGTTGTGGAATAGATGGGTTATTTGTTACCATCTGTGCCTGCATACAGCTAACTAAAAACAAAATGGGAACTAAGAAATTTATGGTTTCATTTTTAGAATTTCCTTCTTTTTAAAAGACTTTGATTCACACTAGATTCTGCTATTCATGACCCATTTTTGTAAATGCTTGTCAACATTGTAAATTACTTCACAGTTTTCATAATTTATAGGATAATAAAATATCACTGTGAAATTTTCAAATGTTATTTAGGACATATTAACATGTGTAATGCTGTGTAAAACTTTTTCCCCAAATGACTGTAGGTTCTTAAAAAAACAAACACCTCTTTGTCAAGCATGCTTCATGTGATAGCCATAGTGGGTTGCTTGAAACACCTTGTTTGTTTTTTTTTGTTTTTCCTTCTTAGGACAAGGAGGTTCAAACTCTTGCACCAAAAGTATTCTTCAGTGTTGGTCAAAATCCACTCATTGAGATATGAGAAAGTTACGATTAATTATCCTATGTATTTTTGAAGGAGGTAATTCTCAAATTCAGCTCATGCATTCTCGTACTTACCATGTCAGATATTCAGCTCACACGATATGTGATATTCATGGGGTGTCCTTTATTGAACAGCAAAGCTTGCAAAACACAAAAAAAGATATCTCAGTTGCATGAGGCATTGAGTTGTATGCAATCAGTAAATGCTTTCAAAAGAGGACACCACATCTCAATCTTAACTTCTATTCCAATCCAATTCACAGATGAGTAATAGCCCAGAACTCACAAATCATGGAAAGAAAGGCAAAGTGCAGCAGATGTTTCCTTCTCTAACAATTGGGTAATTCTCATCCATGACAACACAGGATAATTAGACTTCCAACAGAGGGTTTTGGAGTAGAATGGTGCTTGATGAAACATTACTGTTGCACAGTTCTCTTATACAATGCATGCACAGATTGCTTTATGAAAACATATGTGACGATTCAATATCCAAGTGGTGAAATATGACAATATCAGAGGGCTCTATCAGAAGATCTACTAGTAAGTAAACACACTTCCTCTTTCTCAACACCCAAACCATTCACTTCGTAGCTTGCTGGTGCTCTCATAAGAAGGGTTCAGTAACTGATAAGAAACCTCGGCGTCAAGATTCTATGCTTCCCACATGCTGAAGACGTTGAGTGTAGCAGGGAAAACACAACCACAGTGAATTGTACACGAAAATGAAATACACTGGGACTCAAAATCAGTCGAGGAACGCAAGTTTTTTAAGAAGAGAGTGAGCTTGGCAACTGAACAACTAGCTCATCAAGTCACAGGTATGGGAGGGAGGCCGTGCACACTTTGTATCACCGTCCATGCCTCCTCGGAAGCTCAAGATGGCGCAGTATATCTGCTTGTATACTTCGTCCGGAGGTGGAACAGACGATACCTGCTCAGTTCAGAGCCAATGCTGAGCGTCGAGTGTGTGGGTGTGATGTGGATTGTGATGCAAACAGGAGATGGGGGAGATGGAGGGCACCTTTATTACGAGGTTTTGCTGGAGGTGGTTGTAGAACTGAACCACTGGCAGCGATTCTCGTTGGAATGTGTCGAAGCGCTTGAGAATGGTGGTCATGTTGTCGTCGCTGCGCCCGCTTGTCTCTCCTCTCTTTAACAACCTCTTCTCCATCTCCCCTTTAGGGCACTCTAAGAAGATCACCAATCTCGGTCTCCCGACCTGAGTGAGTTCATTGCACGACTTTGCTTAGATGCCTGCCTTTGCCTGGACAATGTGGATTTCTTCCTTGTTTTGTGGTTATTTGATTTGGTGGGTTACCTTGCGATTATTGTTACCTTCTCCTCGAATAGCTCTGCTTGGTCTATGGCACGAGGAAATCCGTCGACGAGGTAGCCGTTGGCCGTTGTCTTGCTCTCCTCCATGGCTTTCTTGATTAGGTTTAAGGTGATTTGGACAGGAACCAGCTTCCCGTCCTTCATTAGTTGCTCACACTCTCGCCCGAGTTCTGTTCCTTTCTTTACCTCTTCCCGTAGCAGATCACCTGATGATAAGTGTAGGAATCCGAAGTCCCGCACTATTCTGTCACATTGTGTTCCTTTCCCCGACCCCGGCCCACCTGCCGATTGTCATAACGTTCAGAGATCGTGAGAACATCCTTGAAGTTTTCAGAGTGGGTCAAGAATTAACTCCAATAAATGAAACTATGGGGGGATGCGATGAGATGTTACGCACCGAGGACGAAGACGATGGGCTTTGCTTCCTTGCACCGAAGTTTTTGACAATCTTCCTTGGAGTGACCCATTTGGAGTAACTTAGTGTGTCTTCAGGCTCTTCACCCAAATGGTTACCAATGCCGCAGGCGTAAGCAAGAAGAACTGGGTTTAGTTACTCTGACGTCGACGGCGCAACAACTCCACCAACCTTCGCCACATGAGAGTCACATTAATCTGACATTTTCATTCAACGTGAGCACAACTTGACAACTAATCCAGCATTGTAAAACTGAAGAACCATCTCACTCCACATCACTGATACAGAATTGATTAATTGCCTGAAAATCGACAATGCCCTCAAGTTGGGTTACATGATGCTCACCGCGCCCAATAATAGGTACAGACTCATCTCAAACTTTCTATGACAAAATGCCTTTTACTCAAACTTAGATAGAACACAAAGCGGACAGGAATAAAGTCAGTTATCAGCTGAATGTGATCTGTTATCAGCTGCAGCGCGATTTCGTATGATCATTTCAATGTGAAATAGTGGATGGCCACAGTGTGTTGCAGTGACGCGGTAAATGTCACGTGATTCGATACTCTCAGGACCTTGGTGAAAATTCGAAGCGATTTTGAAGGAAGCGGAACTCAGAACGTGCACAGTTCACAACGCGGTATGTCAAGACATGACTGTCTGGGACGAAAATTCATGTCAAGCTGTCTCTTGATCCTAATGGATGTGACCCTTCAAAGCACAGTGTCTGTGCATATGGTTTCAAAGCAACATCCATCCCTTGGGGAATTTGATAAAATTCTGTGTTGTGACCAGTCTGTAATGAGGATCTATGAAACTTGATAGTGATACGAACATTTACGATCCAAATGGCGTTCCCTTGTCGATAGCTGTTTCTACAGGCGGAAGACAGGAGATTCCAGTTTCATGTTTGTCTTGATACATATGGTTCAGTTAAGTGTTATTGAAGACTATCTAGGCTTCAAAAAAGTCTTACTAAAGTGAAGAAATGAGCAGCAAGGATGAAAGGGAGAAGGGTTGCAGGTCAGCTGTGTAGTGGTGATCAGCCTCACGTCAGAACAACACATCTCGATCACCGCCTGCATCGAAGTACGACCTCCGGTAACAATCCCATGTAGGATGGTGAACTTGACTCTGCTCTGAATCCCGTATGTCGCCAATTGTGAATTCCTTCGTCCTCTTTGTGACAGTTTACATGTCTGCCAAGACGATCAGTGGCCCGATCATCCAGAACTCCGCCAGGTGCCTCGTCGTGTGTGAGTTCTCTGCTCTGAATGTAGATCCAATTGCATACATTGCTTGGTGCAAATGCGAAATTATGTACTTGTAGCTGTCCCGACACTGTCAAATATATTATGGTCGAGGAAAAAATCTCGCAGTATAGTCGATCTCTCCACCTCCTTTCCTGGGTGGCCTGGACTTCAAGCTGACTCTAGCCTCCAATTCTGCAGCGTAGTCTTGGGCCTTCATCAAAGCCTGCACTTACCATGATTCACATATATCATGAGAAATACATGTGTCGAAAAAAAAGAAAAAGTCTGGAAACATCAGAAAGGGGTTGTAGTTCATGGGTCCAGGGGTTCAGAGCTGAGGGAGAAATCGTGCTTGTTGTTTGCTAGGTAAATTTCACCGTCTTCATTAAAGGCTCGAAATAGGTGTGACGACGGAAACGGGAGGTGACGATGACGTGAACTGTGGGAAGGATTACGTGAGGTTAATGCGTCATTAGTTGTTTGTTAGACCTCTGTTTAAAAAATATGAAGTTTATATCGATCATGTATGAAAAGGCTGCTGTGGATCGTTCGAAGCTATTGGCATCGACGCCATTCGTCCGTATCACGTATTCAGAAACTTTTGAGATTTGGAGAAGGTAAGGCTTTTACGCCTTGGTATTATAAACACCAAGTTGTTGTCTTTTTGCTTTTGAACATGTAACTACCAACTACAAGCGAGAAGATTCATGAACACCGCGTTATCACTGGAGAGACGTATCTGAATTGATGTGGCTTTTTTTGTTTACTTCATTCGATGGCATTCTTCTTTGTCAATATTTAGATGGTATGACTAGGCTAAGTGTTTCCTCTAACTCAAAATGATACTGAGAGGAGGCTTGATGGCAAGGTAGAGTGGGGAAATGATCTTGCATCCAAGCATGAAAGGTAATCTAAACATACAGTTTGTGGATTAGCTGAAGAGTTTTTATCATGTTAATTGAAGCTAAAACAACATTGAATGCCACGGTTTCTTGTGTGTCCCTTAGTCTCCTTTTCATCTAGAACGACAAATACTTTCCAGTTGTATAGAAGAAGCAAGTACTTGTGTACAACTACTGAAATAACTGGACCGAGTATGTTGGAGAGCTCTAAGGTGGAAGTCAGAGGGAATCATGTCTGGATGCTTGGGATTAGTTGGCACTATTAGATGATAAGTGGTACAAAAGACATGAGACAGATAGTCGTTTCTAAATGGCAAGGCAGAATCAGGTCGCTGATGTTAAATGTCCTTGAATTGGGTTCCAAGTTTCCCCTTAGTTCTATTTCATGGAGGAACAACAAGTAGGATTTGGTGTATTAATGCTCAAGTTGAAGGGGATCTTCATGCTTCTCTAGCCTGATGAGTGGTGTATTAACTTGAGGCAACACTGAACAGTGAAGCATGTTGAGTTTGGCCTTGGTTTTGATCTCATGGTTCCCTTTGCTGCAGGGTTAGCCAATATCAAAGATGCAATTTCATTTCCCAGATACCCATGTAAGGCAGAGCTTTACCATTAGCAAACTTCTGTTTGTTGATTGTTTTGCTGATACAATTGGATTCAACTGTGGATTAGGCAAAACTGCATTCACTGCCTCATGGCAATTGTTTGATCTGTAGTGAACATGCATGTGCTCATGTGGAGTTATTTGTGACAGTGTATCTCAACATTGTTATACATGTCAAACCATTAGATTCAATTATTACTAAGCTGCAAAGATTGGGAATGGGTTGGAGAATCAATCTAACAGAAGTTGAAAACATATGAGGTAGTACACCAGGTAAAAATCCTTGAAAAGATGAAACATGCAAGTTATATTATGAAGTATATGGTCACATCTTGCTGGGGGTGGAGCCCATACCATGCCCACCCTTGCATAGATTGAAGCTCCACTATATCTTTGTTCATTTAAAGATTATCTCCTTATCCCATTATCCACTACCCTGTTGTCCTTTTTTATGTTTTCCATACTAATGTTTGTCTTGAGGTGAGGGCAATAATGAAAACAATTATTGAAAAGTAACAGTACTAATTCAAATACTAAGATATTAGAGTTTTATAAGATACTACTTAAAGCATTGATGACAATGTCCAATGTGCATTTTTGATGCCGATGTTGCAAATTATTTACATCTAATAAAATAATCAATTTTTAAATAGTAGCTTAAGCTATGACTTACTCAATTAACTTTTATGAATATACCTTTATGCTGAATTTTTGCAAAGCATTTGCAAATGATACTATGTGAAGTGCAACCTAAAATTGAAGAATTGCTTACATGTAATGATTGGATAAAGATGAAGAATATTTGAACATGACTCAAATTCATCTTTATCATCAGAGTAACAAAATTATTTTTTTCACTAATTTTATGATTCAATTAAATAAAAATAAACATCAATGACTACCATGACACCATTCACAAATATGCAACTTTTTAAACTTCCCTAACAATTTCTTTTCATTTCACAAAACTCACTTCTTTCAATTGTATCAAATTTATATCGAAGCACATGTTTCACGATCTATTTCAAATTGTAATAAGCTTATTCATTTTGACCATCCAATTTCAACTAATAGCAACAATAATGATATACTTTCAACATTAAGCATTCCGCAACAAACTTCACAAGCATTAAAACCCACAACTCAAAATTCAAATTTTGCATCACAGATGTGTGTGTTTTTATGAGCTCAAACCCCAAGAAAAACTCGAAAAAACACACACCATCCACAACCAAAGAACACGAAACAATACGAATTAATCACAATAATTTATGAAGGCTTCACCTCTTGGCTTCCCTCATTCTACCCAGATATGCTTGTGATCGGCGCCGTTGCGCGTGAGCATTGAAGCTCCGATCGAGAGCCGAAACCAAATTTTGCTTGCGTTTCGAGGCTTCAATTCGAGATATTGAAGCACGAATTGGTGCGGCGGAGTTTGGTTGTGCATCGGTGCAATGGGGTGGTAGCATTTCCTTGTATCGTAGCAGTAGTTGTTGTTGTTGATGTTGCTGTTGTCGATGGGTTTGTGAGAAGATGGGTTGTTGGAGGAGGAAGAAGATGTTTGTGGGTTTGTAGAATTTGGGGTTTTGAGGGTCTACGAGTTTGAGATTGTTAAGAAGCTGTGCAGTTTTGCATTGGTTTTTTTGTTTTTTTGTTTTTGTTTTTGTTTTTTTTTTTTTCGCTGAGAGTTGGGATGATGAAGGGTGTTGCGGGTTTATAGTATTTTGGAGAGCGTTGAGGGGATGAGGTGGGAGGAGAGAAAGCTATGGCGAGGAGGTTGGTGAGAGGCAGAAGCAGAGTGCTGCTCTCCGACTCCTCGGACGAGGATTCCTCAGACAACATCGACGTGGTCGTGAAGCACGTTGTCGCGGAGGGCAATGCTGCGGCCCCGGCCTTAGTTGCTCCCCCGGGGATTGATTCCATGGTGTTAGAGGACGAGATCGAGGACGATGACATTTCCGTGGAAGAGGATGAGCCTCCCGTGACCATCTTCCCGCTCGCGGAGCCGTTCACTCCTGCTGTGAGTAGGGTTCCTCGACAGGAGAACATGAACAGAAACAGCGACGACGGGTTGGGTAATCCTCTCCACCAGCTGCTTCAGAAACGGGGAATTCGTGTGCATTCTGAATGGCTCGCTTCGTTTGTTCGGGAGATGGAGACTGCCCAACCAGGGTTTAGCACTTTCGGAGTAGAAAAGCAGGGCGAGTTTGCTTTCTCGCATTTGCTTGTCGCCGATTTCAATGAAGTTGGCGCAGGTTGTTTGCCTAATTCCTTCGGGAGTCTTCATGCAACTGAGCTCTCTGGACCATTTATTCTTCAGGTGACTCCTTCCCTCTCCTTCCTTCGTCAGGATTACAATGTTGGCAACGTGGATAATTTATTCGTCACCTTCCCTCTCATTTGTTAAGAGGTAACTGTTCATTTTTTGGTGAGCAGCTCTACATTATGCATTTTAAACTCTAAAACCCTTAGATCGTACTGATACTTTGTTTACCAAATGATGTGTGCTTTCAGGACACATTATCAATTTTTAGCTTGGTCATGCCATTCTTTGAAAGTCTTGGGTATCAATCTGGTTTGAGACCAACTTGAATTTAATCGCAACTATAAATTGAAAGATCTGAGATTGTGTGGGACTCTCTATCCCCTTCCCAGGTGGATGAGATAAGTGATATCGGTGCTCCTTTGAGAGAGAGATATCAGCAGCGGGGTCCAATGCCGACCAGGTGCCTGAAGCTTTCCATGACAGACGGCGTGCAGCGTGTCATTGGAATCGAGTATCAACCAATCGCCGCTCTTCATAACCTATTTCCTGCTGGGTTGAAGGTCCGTGGCCATCTGTTATGAAAGCTGCAATGTCTGAATGGCCCTTCGCTTTTCCTCTCGTGGACCACATGTGCAATTAATCTGATTTTTAAGTAACAATTGCCAAATAATGTATTGATCCTTCAATCAAATTGCTTAAAGAGTGGCTGGTTTTAATTTATTTGCCTCTGCACATGTTGACATAGATCTGTGTGAGACATGTGTTTGTACGACGCGGTGTTTTCCTCCTAAGCTGCGATAGCGTGGAAGTCGTAGGAGGTCTTGTACCGCGTTTAGAGGAAGCACGTCAACGTGCAGTGCATGAAATTAATAAACCGGCTCGGGGCAGTCGGTATGCTCTATCCTACAGCCCCTCATATCTGTTGCACTTTCTATTGGTTGTACATGACACTTCCATCTGTTCAATTTTAAAACATCCATTTATTGTTATGTCCTTACTAATGTCTTACATACACTAGGTCATAGAACGAAGCTGTTATCCTCGTAGAACTTTGAATACTACGTTTTCTCTTAAATATGAATGGCCTTTCTGTGCTGACCTTAATCATATAACATGTGTTGTCTAGTAGCTAGCTATTTTGTAATGCACAGAGAGCTACTTTCTGAGAGTATCGGAAATGGAATTGTCGCTGACCTAATCCCTTGTAGCAGACACCGTAGAGGGCAGCCTGGGGACCGTTCCCTGGCCGAAAGGGCGACTGCTGCGGCTTGGGTCAGAAACACGGATGAGACTAATCCTGCTAATCCTACAGCTGCACTGAATGCGCGGGGAAATTCTCGTGGGCACTCTATGGAATCCATGCAGCCAACTGCAGCTAGTGAGCTTTTACTTCCAGCTGTATTGCTTTTACAAAATGGCAGGGCTATCACCATTCTTTGTTGCATTTAGAGTTCACACGGAAGCACAAGTCCCTCACTCGCTATTTTTTAGCAACTTAATAATTATAATAATACATATTTTTTGTTTATTGTATAATTCAGGTATTTTTCAGTCGTTTGTTGCTCAGGACCAGCCAGCCCATGAGCCTCGAGCAACACCTGTTCTTGATCTCGATACAAACATAGGGCAAAGTATACATGCCGCTCGCACCGAAACCAGGTCAAATTTTTCGGTGCAGCAAACAACTTCTGCCGTAGGCCCACTTCTCACTGAGACCAGGATAAGTGCCGCAGTGCAACAAGAACCTGCTGCTGTTGATCTTACGCATACTGAGACCAGGTTAAATGTGTCAGTGCAACAAGCAACTTCTTCTGTACATAACCTTGAGGTAAAGAGAAGGCAGACTACATTACCTTGGCTTCAGACACCTGCGAACGACACAGTGGTTTGTGAAGGCAGTCCTCCTAAAATCTCAACAAGCACATTTGGATCTTCGTGCACACAGCAGCGGGTTGTAGAGCAGACCACCACACATGATTCTCTTGCTCAAGCTCCTGGTGCTGGTATGTCTTTTTTTCTTATTCTCCTGTGTGGAGGAGTAAGAATCTTCAGGGGGCTTTCAGTGCTGGAAGCCTGCTTAGCAGCCCATGTACAGAGTTATTTTTTAATCACTCGGAATTCTTTTCGCGTAGGAACTTTGTGGTGATGGATCGCTTCATAATTTTCAGATGAGCACTGACCATCTCATCTCTGCTAGTGCACATCACAATGTTAGTTCTGCCAAGATGACACGCGGGCAACTGTGTTCAGAAGGACTTGAATCAAGCTGTAGATATTTCTGGAGAGTAAGACTGCCCTGATAAATGTTTCCGCTAGTCACGCAGGTATACAGACTCCCATGAACTTGGATAGTGATGATGATGATTTTGATTTTGAGAGTGTCCCGGCCACTTCACAGAGGCATCAAACTCCTTCATTTAGTGAAGAACCTTTCACCTATCTGGCCTTCCTAAAAGAAAGGCTATCTGCAGGACCTGGATATAATGCTGCCGTTGGCAAAATCAAGGTATTCCCTTTTGACGCACATTCCTTATCTTAGACCTTAGCAGCTGTATTTCAACCGTCTTGTTTTAGCATTTGCTTTCTACTCACATAAGCGCGAGTGTTAATGATTATAAAATCTTGTCTTTCTGAATAAGTTGCTGGGAGTTCCCATGATGCGACTCGCAACTACAGTGCAGCTTTGTACACTGATTTTTGTTAATCGGTATAATCTGGAAAGAAGAGACCAACTCTTCATTCTAAATGTAACGTGTTCCTGCAAAATCAACATATCTACACCACAAATCGTACACAAACACCGTTGCAAACTATAGTATTGTTCGAAACGGGGCGGAGAACTGATACGCACACTGGTTGCTTGCAGTGTGTTCTGACAGGTGTAAAAGATTTCAAATTCAAAGACTCTGAAGAATTTGCACTGATCGTACATGTGGATGATGGTAGCCTTGTAACCGAGGCTCTCATCCACCATGAGGTCAGGACCAGCATCGTGTCTTTGTGTTGTTCACTTCAAATCAAGATAGTTGATTGTGCTATTGCTCAAATTTACAGTCTTATAAACTATAACATGTTAAGTATGCACAAGCAATATTGGTATTTTCTCATGTATCATTGATAGTTTGATCCAGTGTTTCTTTCGAAGTGCCCTCCAATGGTCACTACTGATTTCTGTGAGTACAAAGCAAATGCTAAAACAAGGCGGTTGAAATACAGCTGCTAAGGTCTAAGATAAGGAATGTGCGTCAAAAGGGAATACCTTCGCAGAGCTGCCTGCGTGGACCTATTCAAATTTTGAACTTAATGCAGTGTCTCACAAGCGGGCACTCATCTTGTCACATGTTACAGGTAGTGCAGAAGATGGTTGGATTTTCCCCTAAAGAAGTGAACAGAGCTCTAGCTAGTTCAAACCCTCAGGATGTTCGAGAGATGAAGAGCAATATGAAGCGGTTTCAGGCTTTCTTGAAAAAATTTGAGGTTAGACATCGTTTCTAAGCTTGCTCTGGTCAAATCTACTAATTTTTGGTCGAAAATCGGGGTTGCTGATACAGATGAACTGCACTGGCTATTGTGAGCTTAGAAGCTGACGCTGTAAAGGCGTGATGATGCTAACAGATTAATTTTAAGTTCTTGCGTACATTTATGTTTATTTTCATGGTTGATTGGGCGCAGGGCTTGGCGTACGTTCAATACAAACAAATATTGGACCTACCTGTGATTTCGCACATGGAAGAGGGCGTGAAAGAAGGGGATTTAACTGCATTGCTGGCTCGGGTTGGCAAAGACACGTCTTTTAGGCAGCATGATAGTAGAATAAAGTCAGAGTTCATTGATGTATCACCTTAAACCTTCCATTAACTAGTTATTGTTATTGCAATTGCAACAACTAACCTTTGTTATGGACTGCTCAAACCCAGCGTAGTTTATAACAAACTAGTATATCTTGATTGAAGTCAATGACATCTGGTGAATCGATTATTTTTGTCCTCATAAATACCCAAGTGGTTAATTTCTACTTTTTGTTTTGCTCTCAAATAACTGTAGAAATTGTATCGAGTTATTCGTCCACTCTACATTTGAAGCTTACCCTTATGATCAGATTTATCGTACTTCTAATTACCCCGATGGGTTTCACAGCAGTACCGGAAAACTTATCTTTGTTCTGCTCTGTAGTCAGAGCATAGAAAGTAAAGGAAAATTAGACAGAAATTTCTGTGGATGGTTGGTGCTCCTAAATACCAGTCGAGGTGCCAATCCACCGGTCAGTAGAATTTCACTGCAGCTTCTATTTTCTCAGATTGCTCACAGCTTATATATACCAGTTTGATGTATATTCCATAACTCTTGATCTATGTAGAAGGTGAAGTAAGGTACCTTTCATGTCTTGAGTTAAGCCTGAACAGAAGTATAATACGTTTTGCATTGCCAAAACAATGACCGTGCTTAACACCAAAAATTATTACGTTTAGAAAGAACTGCAATGAATCTCAGGGCAATGAAGTTGCTTACCCCAGACCTCATCTTATGTCATCTAAATTTTCTCAGGTGTGTCCCGTAATCGTAGCACACATAATGGACTCAGCATTACCGATTGTTTGCAGTTTCTATGGACAAAAGGACCAGCGGAAGTTTAAAGATTAACTGTTTGGTAAGGAGATGTAGACGATGGTTTGATGTCTTTTAAAAGAATGAATACCCCAGATGAATATATGAGATGGTGTTTAAAGACTAAAGTATTTAATTACTCTTTAACCCATTTCATATCAGATAACCAGATGTTTGGTGAGAATGTACAGGTTATAATGGCGCTAGAAAAGAAAAGAAAAGATAAAGAAAGCAATTGTGTGCTTCACTCGTACTAAAATATATTCAAAATATTTTTATTAAGAAAAACTAGTTATACATATTTTCAAATGAATAATGTTTGACCGTTGGATTTTTTTCGGGTAAAACTTACTAATTAGATGGTATTGATAATCATTTATGATAGTTGTGAAAACCCCATGTAGCTCTCGATGACAACTCCCGTCATTTTCAATTAGTCGGCATTGATGCTTTTAGTTGTCATTTTGGAAAGTCTTTGCTGATAATATGTTCATAAGGGACGATTTAATACTTAATGATATAACATTTACTTTTTCTTTCTCCATAGTACAGTTTAAATATTGACCAAAGATCCGGGGAAATGGGTTGAGTTTCCTCTTGGTACAATCACGACCAAATTTACCTTCACAGTGTGTAAACATTGAATCAGTATACGAATACCATTTGGAGATGTATGTATTGGCCACTTCTGAAAGGATGAAGAATGGATAAATGGCGAAAATCCAACACAATAAAACGCTGAAAACTGTAAACGCTGCTAAAATTGTGGTATCATTGCCAAGCTCATGAAGCAATCTTATCCAGAAATGAATTGCTATATTTATAGAAACATCTCTTTGATTTTTATGCACGTGTTATGAGGTTGACTAGGCAGAAGGCAATACAGATTGGGTTAATTGCTGTGGGAGGGATAAATGTCAGTATCACACAATATCAGAGACAGAGTCCATCAAATTCTCCCGCCAGAAGAAATATATGACACTTCTAGATACAAAAGAAATACCACACTCATGCGTCCCGATTCACAGAACTGAAATTGCACATCACCCTCAGACACTAGAACTTGAATTGCTGCAGACATCGTTTGTGAGCAATACTAACTACAGTGCACTCAAGATCGGTATTGGATGTCCTTGCAATTTCAAAAGAACTTCAATAGATACAGAACATTAGCATGGATGTCGCTCCTCCATTTCAAAAGATGATATGCTGGCTAGTCCAGCGTGGAAACCTAAATCTATACTTCTGAGATAGCCTCATCACCACCAATAAGTGCAGCGGGGCAGACAGATCAAGCCTGCAAAACATTCATGAGTGTCACCACCTCATGAATGATTATCCTCATGAAGTTTACCAGAGAGCAGGGAAGGAATCTACGACAAAACATTTAAAAAATTTGATCTTCTATTGAGCAGCTTCTTTTTTAAGATTCCTCATTACCAACTCTCTGACTAACCTTCATTGTTTCTCAGCAATAGTTGACAATATGTTCTTCTTTACTATAAACTCGTCCACCTTGCTTGGGTTGACGGACTGCACAAACCAAAAACAAGGTTTCAGATGCTATACCATCATCGAAAAATCGCGAGAAATGACAATATTAACCAAACAGGAGATATTAACGTAACAGCAACAAGCGAAGAAAATCGAAAACTAACGATAAATGGTCGTACGCCGACAGATACTTACCCCGGACAAAATGCGAGTGAGTCTATCTGCTTCCTTCTTTGCATATCCTTCACCTTTATCAATGATGCTCTTCAAAGCCTTCAAATACACTTTTGCGTACCTGTAGAACAGAACAGAAAGAGTATGATGCACGAACCAAAACAATTAAGATAAATTTAATCTATTGAGATGCAATAAGGGATTTCCCAAGTTCAGACACCAAAAACATTTGCAATCGTACCCGGCTGCTTTCCCTTCCAGGCTGACAGCTGTTTCCTCTCCCTTAGAAAGAATACCGCTACGCTCCTCGGGTTTGGCGGAGAAAAATTCGGTAAGGATATCATCAAAGGCTGACAAGATCCCAGCCTGCAAGCAATATACAAGAGGCAGAATCTAGTGTAAGAACATCCACATACACACACATCTATAAACCGGAATAGTTTTTTCTAGTAATCAGAACCGGTCAAAATCATACATGATATGTGAAGGATTAAAAGTAGACATACGTCATTACTCAAGCCTCCTGAAGAGGTGCGGGCAGTCCCGGCTTTCTTGTTCAAGAAAGTCACAAATGCGTCCACATCACGACCGCCATCATAATCTTCACCGTCTTTGTTGTTCTTGGGAAAAAATTTCAAGGTAGGATAGCCAGACACTCCGAACCTGTGAAATTCAAACGTATTGTACATGAGCCACAGTCGAATGGCACGCTTCAGGGTGCTCATAGTTGAAGCCCGACCTCTACTCAAAAACGTCCAATAAGCAACAGAAAATTAAATTCAAGCTAGTCCCTAGTATCACATAACGAACACTACACTTCATTAAAATTCTATGTAATGCAACTTCACTACAGAATCTGATGTATCAATAGTACCTTGAACCAAGAGCCCTGTGAGCATCGGCATTAACGTTGGCAACCACAACATCATTCTCCAACTTAAAAGCCGCAGCAACTTTCTCATAAACCTAAACGTAATATAGAATAAAGATCAGTGTTGTCCTTGCGAAAAAATCTTCCACAAAAATACAAAACAGAAGGACGTGTGTTTAACAGTAAGGTATACGAAAAAAGAAAAAAGAAAAAAGTTCTTGAAAGGCTTCAAATGAAATTCAACTCGCTTGACAAGATGGTTACTCGATGCAATACATCATTAGAAATTCTAGCCTACGTTATGCAAGGATTGAAGTTTCTAATCAGTCCTGGGAATCCTGAACCAGCCATTGGAAAGAAAACTAGGAGGGCACAGAAACAAAGCTTACAGGGGCGAGACTCTTGCAGTGACCACACCTGTCCAATGCAAACAAAAACACAACAATAGTCAGTAATGAGGTATTGAAATACTCGCATGAGAATTTCGCAAATATCTGGCAAAATAAATACAGATTATTTGCATTCACAATCACAAGCAAAATAGTAAAAAAGTTGACTCGTTTTGGAAGTGACCTTTATGGCAATTTTTGCATCGAACTAATTCACAAGTCTAGGCAATTCTATACTGTAAGATGGAGATTGAGGCCCCACAAAGCAACATCATGATATTTAGAAAAATGTCGTACCAAGGGGCATAGAATTCCACAAGGACATCTTTCGTAGTATCCATAACGATCTTATCAAAATTCGTCGGGTCGAGTACCACAACTTCTGAAGGAGGTGTAGAAACCTTTCCTTTAGTACCTGCAGGGAAGGAGAATACTCACTGCATTTAATGACGTGTATATTTCCAAGTAGTTGTCTCCCTCGATAAAAAAAAAAAAAAAAAAAGAAAAGAAAAGAAAAGAAAAACATAACTGCGACAGTATACACAGTCCTTAATATGGAGCGCGTAGATGTGTAACTCACCCGCTTCATTGTTTACGAATTCCAAAAGTGCATCCGTAGTGCGACCACCATTGTAGCTGGAGAGACAGAATTTACATAGTAAAACCTCACTTTAAATACTAATGTCCTACAAAGCCCTTTAAAACATTAAAAAAAAAATCTAAATTCTTTCAAGCCCTACCCGAACGAAAACATGATTCAAAGAAGAGATCTACAATTACAAAAGTCAAGGTGACGCAATTTAACAGCACATTAACTTTTGGAACTCACTCTTTAGGCTCCAAGGATCCTTTAGGAAACCACTTGATTGTAGGAAATCCCTGGATCCCGTACTTGCTGCACACCGACTTGTGATCATCACAATCCACCTGAGACAACACAATAAACACCACATGAATCAAAACAACATTCACCACAACATCAAGAGAACATATTCTACCCCTAAACAAAAATCCACATCTTCGAATTTTGCATTTAGTGAAATACGAAGACTCAGTACTGTGCACAAACATTTCAGTAGATCATGGTCAGTGTAACACTTCATTCTATTCAACCGACTGAAACAACCCTAATCCTGATTCTTAAGGCAGGCAACAGCCAAACGCGGTTTACCTTCGCAATCAAAACGCTTTTTTGGCCCGTAAGTGCTTCACCAAGCTTCTCGTACTCGGGAGCCAACTTCTTACAGTGTCCACACCTGCACAACATCCAAACCCAAATCACCAACAATCTGAATACTCAAAAACACCGATCTGCGTCTCTAACCAAGATCGAGGTATCCAAACGAAGATCTTAAAAATCCACGCACTGAACAGATCCACGGCCCAGTCCAAACTGCATGCCACTCACTCAACAAAGGAAACCTTCCATCGAACACTGATCACACTTATCAAATTCCACCCCATTTACCGACAAAAAAAAATTAAAAAATAAATAAAACTCGATATTTGCACCCGACCTTAAATCAGCAACACGGTCGACTGTGGACACAGCTACCAAAAGGAATCAAAACACTCTCGCCACTCCCTACGCATCAAGATTCTAACGACACTCACCAAGGCGCGTAAAACTCCACAAGGGCGCCCTTGTCACCGCCAACATGTTGTTCGAAATTGGACTCCGTGAGCACGGTGACGTGCTCATCCGCAGCTTGCGAGAACGAGGACACGCACAGCAACAATACCGTCAGGGCGGCCAAAGCGCTGAGCATCCGGGAGGTCGTCATGGTTCGGGAGCGATCTGGTCACAAACCCTGAGAGCGAGCTTTGGTTCGACCTACAACTCCCTCTTCGAGCAAACATCAAGCGGAACAGGCGGTGGACTTGAAATTTAAACCTAGAACCAGATCGCGGGCGCGGCCATGGGGTCCCGTGATGGGCACCGGGTTGGGCCACTCTCGCCCTGCCATGTCAGACTGATGACGTGGTGGCCTAAAGACAGCCCCCTTGCTCCACGAAATCGATGGATGAATGTGATTTGGCGCGTGTCTGTCAGCATTCTGTTCATTGCTTCGTACATTCTTAGCCCATTCACGGTGTTTAACTTGTTTTGTATAAGAATGTTTTTGGAATATTTTCTGGTAATAATTCATTGTTGAAACATCTTATTATGTAATTTTTATATGTATAGGAGAATGTCAAATAGACCCAGGCTTTTATGAAATTGACCCACCCATCATGAAAATAAAAATGATTTTAAGATGTTTTCCAATATTGGATCCAAAATCAATGAAAGTCAATCACATTCATTATGATTACCATGTACTTCATCATGGGTAGGCAAATTTAGTAAAAACCTAAGTCTATTTAACATATCCCTATATATATAGAAATGTTAAATAGATCCAAATTTTTACTAAATCAACCCACCCATCTTAATTATTATGAAAAAAGTATATAATTTCTAGATTCATTTTTCCATTATTGGATTTGCAACCAATAAAAACCAACCACATTTATTATGATTATCATATTTTTCTTTTTTTTTTTTTTTTATCAAAGGTGGTATATTTAGTAAAAGCATGGGTCTATTTAACATTCATCTTTATACATATAGATATATTAGCGGAAACTTATGTTGTTGGGCATGAAAAATATGTTTATAGATAGTAACTTGGAGGTCTTTCTGCTCATTAATAATTTCTTCGATTTCAATCAATGAGAAGGCTTTTTTTGTCTCTTTGTCTTATAGCTAAGCTTCCTTATCATATAGATATGATAATAGATAAATAATACACATATTGCTTGACTTTATTTATTTATTTATTTATGTGTTGATGTGATTGAACAAAAACAAACCCTTGTGTGTTATGAGTTTTCTAAAGTACAATAGTTGTATGATTTTTCATTTTATCCATTACAAAAAAAAAAAGAGGATTGAAACTTTTTTGGGGATTGTGTGTTGAACATTACCAAATTATAGAAACTATATGTTGTATTGTATAATGTAATATATTGTTATACTATTTCATCATGAACTAAAACAAACAGATAAACAAAACACGTGCCATTTAGTATCAAGATATTGTGTGTTTAAAAATGTCTATATATATATATATATATATATAATTCCTTCTTCTTTTAAATTATACTAGTGGTGTATAAATGGACCTAATCACATGATATGAAACACAATCAGTTGTTTCCTAGAAAGTTGAAAGATACAAATGATTCAGTTTTTTAAATCTGAATTCAAATAATACATAAAAATACAAGTGCTGTTTTTAATTTGTTATTATATACAATTATCAATAATTTATAACCTTTTGTATAATTTTTTGTTCTGTTTTGTTTTACTCGCTGTAAATGCAAGATTTATACTAATCCAATGAAATCAACCATAAGGCCATGAATGCCCATTAATGATTGTGTGTGAAATATATTATTTTAATGTAGTTTTCACAACATTTAAGATTCCATAATTATAAATATTTTATATTACTAAAGTTTCTACTATAAGAAGCATCATTCTTTATTAGTGATGTATCATAAATATATTTCTACAAAGCTCATTATTCATAGCTAAATTTACCAATTAATAATATTAAATATATTTTATTTTAGAATAATGTTAATAAATATTTTGAATTACATTTCTATATAGTTTAATGTTTGAATAAGTAACCACTACTTGAAAATGTAGAACCAAACGATCAATTTTTCTTATATTATTAGTAGATTTTTTTTATATTTGTTCAAAATGTTTTAAAATAAACATATACATGTATGTATAGAATTTTGAAAATCATAATATATTGTTGTAATATTAAAAATATTTATTTTGATTTTAAGCAATCAAATATTTAAGTCAACTTTTAGATTCTTACATGGTATAATTTTTAATAAGTATCAATAAATAAGAGTTATTTATACTACTAAAAATCTCCATAAAAATATTAATTCAATTAACACTTTTGCAAAATAAGATTGTCTTTAATAGAAAGTCCATTTAAATAACATTTATTCTAAAAAAACCTAGTTGACATTTTTATGTTAATGAATAAACTAACTTTCAAAATATTAATGATTTTACTAGCATTATTATTTGTTACTTTCATATTTTTTTAACAAAATTGATACAATATTACTATCAAGGGTTATACAGCTAAGATTTTTCTTAATATGGATTAATTTATATCTTTTGATGTTCTTTAGTATTATGCTTGAATAAAGGCAAATAAAAATCAACCATTGTAATTGTGAAGAAATTTACAATAAGAAAGAATAGAGATAAATACAAATAAAGTATAATAAATATTAAAATTAGTAGTTCAAATATTTTTTTTGTATATGTGTACAAAGTAATGTACTTTAAATGAATAAATATATTTATGTATATAAAATAAAATAAAACATAAAAATTATTTAAAAAATACATAAATATATTAAATAAATAAATAAATTTTTATACAAATGTAATTATTGTAGCAATAATGCCAAGGAGAAAGTTAAAAAAAACCTTAGATACAATTAACAATACTTGTAGAATATTATGTGCTAAGTGTATGGAAAAAAACTACAAATACTACATCTATTGAACATAATTGATGCATGTCCATGATAAGAACATTCTAGTATCCAATAAAATAATTGTATAATGAAAAGAGGAAAATTTGCATTACTAACAAAGAATAAAAATGCTATCATAATGAACAAGATTGACTTTAGCAGCTTTTGAATTTTCATACGAAAAACTATAAAAAATATAAATTGATTCTAGTTAGATACAATGATCATCTATTCAACAAAATAAACTTACAAATTACAATAACCTATATTATAATTTTTAGATTGATATTTCTACATCTAATTGTAAAATTATTGAAGACACTTGAGTTGATAATAAAGATGTTTATGCACATTTCTATGTAGTAAAGATGTTCCACAAATGTAGTCATAACATATAATTGAGTTTTACATATATTTTACATATTTTTTTTTTTTTTTTTTTTTTTTTTTTTTTAATTTGTTAAAACAACTTTACTCAACCTCATTTGCTTAGATAGAGACAACAAAAACATGCATAATCCATGAATCAGGAATTTAATCAGAAGAGTTAAATTTGAATTAGTATGCATTCTTTCAGATAGAAAGCTGCGGAGGCATACCATCAAATCCTGCATCAGTCTCTGGAACAAAATTGACAAAATTCTTTGTACTTCCATAGGGGTTTTCATTAGTAGTTGCTGTAGTGACATAGCCTAAATTCTACCTTGGTACAAGCACTTCCTCAGGAAGTTGCAGTAGATTAAGGCACATGATCAAGCCCTTGAAACAAACTTAGGAGAACGGTCATCTGGCGCTTCTGATTTGGTAACAGAAAAAACATGCATATATAAAATATAGAGCACGGGAAGATGAGTTCTGGTATTCATTGGATTATTGGGTTTTCGGACTTTTGAGGAATACCCTACAACCATGAAAAACTATGCTATCTGGGTGTGTTTTCAAAGCCGAACTGGTTACCACGATATGCACAAGGACAACCATAACCTCGCTCTTTACAGACCAGGAGTCGACCACATTTAGGGCTTCCAGACCCAACACCTTTCTACAGATATGATTTGGAGAAGAGCCCATACATTGTGCAGTGACGAAAATCTGATGTGTCGTACCGGGTTCAATAAATTCTGTAGAGCACCCTCCTATTCAGAATACACTACACCTTGTTGCTTGTCTGAGGTAGTTTGTTTCTGGTGGGGAAGTACATGTCTGGCGGCTCAAGGTGTTCTCTTCAAACTCTCCCACACTGTCGTGGACATAGGTTTCAAGAACATAGGTAAAGGTGGGGAAATGGCAGTCGTGGATTTGTCACAAGCGATATTTACAGTTCGGATTCATGTGTAGCACGATGATACCAAGTACAAAACAATGTAGTTCACAAGTTGACATGCCAAGGCGAAGCACTTCACTCCATCCAACTAAGGAAATCATGCTATTGTCTACACGAATGAACAAGACATCTTATTGCATGGAGAAGTCCTGACACTCTCTGTGCCATTACTGCTCGTGGTCACTATGTGTACTACAATCTCCTTCTAAACAATCAGCATCACAATTCTGAATGATGTTACAGCAACTGGAACATATACCTCATGATTTCCGCTAAGTTAGTGTTCTGTCAAGTAAACCCTCATTAGGTCATCCCACCGTCGTGTCACAGCGTAGACTGAGCGTTTACAGGTCGGATTGGTCTCTCGCATGTTTTTAACTGCAGCTCGTCAATCTGCCCGCCAGAAATGCAGATTTGATGACGATGAGAGTTACTTCAGATCATGTTGGTTAGACGGAATGTTCACTTCCTCCTGAGAATAAAGGGCACCTGAGGAGCAGATTGGACGTCTGATTTGTGCATTATTGAGATTATTATGTAACAGAACCTATTCTCAGAAGCCCCTTGCTCATTTCCTAAATCGACGTCGGTTCGTATCTGGATGCATCAGCCGATTCGCTTGAGCGCGTTCATTGGACTTATTGTCAAACCTATCCACCCTAACTCTTAAATCTCGTTGATGTGCCACACTAAAGTCTTTTCGAATGTCCCAGAGAACCTCAGTCACTTCCTTCATGTTGGGCCGCTGTGCTTTCGTCTGAGCCGAGCAAGTCAACGCGAGATTAACTAAACGATCCACAACGCTCATTACAGCTGGCGTTCTCTCAATTTGAGGATCAAGGATCTCGATCACTTTCCCTTCTTCAAATTTCTGATAAACCCACCTGGTAGTGATACGCTCTTCCTTGGCTCTCTTCACTTCAATAGGTCGCCTTCCAGTGAAAATCTCCACTAGCAGAATGCCGAAAGAATAAACATCACTCTTTGTATGAAGTTGATATGAGTTGAGGTATTCCGGATCCAAATAACCTGCCAGTTTACCACATCTAACTTCAGTCTACAATATATGACAGATTGCCACACAAGTATGACCGAAAATGCCCTAATTTCACTGAGAAAACGCACTTTCTCATTAGGAGTTCTGGTGAGAATAACGAAGGTAGTAAAGCTCATTCCAACATTGACATAAAGGATGGAGCGGTATTAGGGCTACATAAAACACTTGAAATTGAAAGAGAACACAGTACTAGCTTGCATGGCTACCGACTCACTCACCTGCAGTGCCTTTCACTTGAGTTGACACATGGGTGGCCCCAGCATCGGTGGCAGGTCCTACGCGGGAGAATCCAAAATCAGCAACCTTCGCCCGATAATTCTCTGTGAGGAGAATGTTAGACGACTTGATATCCCTGTGTATGATTGGCCGATCGGCATAAAGATGAAGATAGGTCAATGCGTGTGCAATATCGATCGCAATGTCTAATCGAGTACTCATGGGGAGCGGTTTCCCGTAGGTGCCTTGTATATGTTCACCGAGGTTTCCGTTCGGTACGAACTCTACGACTAGGATACGTTCAGATCCTTCCTCCAAATAGCCCAGCAATTTCACAAGGTTCAGATGATCCACCTGGAACAATGTCATTTTAACGAGCGCGTTAGAAAGCTCCTTTCAAGCCAGACTATGCAGAAGTGAAAACGCTACCGATTTTAGGGCAAGCATACGCCGGAGCTACGGCTATGGCGATAACACGGTTTCGGAGTAAACGAACCTGAGACAACATCTCAATTTCAGTCCGGAACTCGGTTAACAGCCGATGCTCGAATGCATCCTTCCTGCCGCGCTTGATAGCCACCATCCTGCCATCTCGTAATCGGCCTTTAAACACCAATCCAAAGCCCCCTTGACCAATTTTGTTCGACGGAGACCAGTTTGAGGTTGCGTGAAGAATGTCAGCCATTGTGAACCTCTCAGATCCGGCAGTCATCGATTCCTCGTCATTCACGGCTCTAAACAGTTGGATTCCGTTGCCACTGGAAGGCAGAGACGTGGCATTAGACGGTGTAGAACCATCGTCAGAGACATTCTTGAATTGATTAGGTCCCTCCCGATTGTCAAATTCATCGTCCCTGGATTTAGCTCGAAAGCATTCAAAGCATACCAATACGAATGCAGCCACTACAGGGTTGTACATTGCGCAGATGGTATTTCACCAATTAAATCCCTCCGTGTCTCCCTGTAACGAACAGGGACAATCCTAACTAACATGAATTTATTAAGGTCTTGACATCCCGCACGGCGCAGATCGCCACAATAAATACCGTAACCTACAAGCCAATGTACGCACACCGAATGTTTTCCCAGTGATCGCGTAAGGTCAAGCTCCAACGCGCCAACATGTTCTAGTGGCGTTCTTGATTCTTGTACTAAAACCCGCATTGAAGATTCTTCTCGGTGTCCACGGAGCACATATCTGAAGGTTGGAACAGGCCCATCCGAACATTCACGTTAATCAAAACCCAGTACTCAACAATGAACATATGATAATGCTATTTCGGGAGCTCCAGTGCCACGAAACACGCTTCCAAGAGAGATTCTGACTGAAACTAGGCCAGCCGAATCGAAACTGAACACCAGCTAGCGGCATCACAGGTTCATTTGCGGCTCCACCTCCAACACAGCTATCGCCGAGTACCTTGCCGACCACACCGAAGTTCTACAGCACAAAGCCTTTTCCCATGTGTCACCAACAACAACGCTGCAGGCATCACCCACCTCTGGACGCGTATTCTTCCTCAATAACTTCGTAAATGCAAAACCTGAATGAGCAACGGTGGATGAAGACAGCTTAGGTATACTAAATTTACGTTGAATCAAGTGTTCCGCTTGTAATTGACAACCACTGTCTCTGACAAGTTTGACGTATAGGGTCTTCGCATCTTGCAGGCCTGTAAAGCAGATGATGGGGTTGGTTTACAAAATGTTCGACGTATGCCCTAAAGATCTTCAGACGTCATGCGAAGAAACGCGTGTCCCAATTTTGTGTAACAGAACGCAAATCAGTAGTCTACCGTCAAGCCAACAATCTTGTAACCCGCATCGCAACTGGGGATAAATATGATGCACTTGACCCACTTTCGGGCTTACACCAATTCCTGTTTCAATTCCTGTTTCAATTCTTGTCCCTAACCATTTCAATCAAATTTGGCCAAAACGTAGAATTCCAACCGTTGGAATCAGCTTCGCAAATGTCGAATTGGATGCATCCAGGTCTATCCTCACATGCAAATATTCAGTCAGACCCCAAGACAAGGATGCCGTCTTGTCATGACAACCTGAATTTCTTCAAGATTGGTCACATGAATCTAAACGAAACCTTCCGACTCGCTGTGCGCTTGCTGTGACAAATGATTTCGGATTGCTTAATGCGGATCACACACAGCCAGTGTGGGAAGTGGAATTGTATTCTAGCACGATTGCCACGAAATTTGCAAGTGGCGAGTCAATTTAAATCTTCCATGACTCTAGTCGTTAGAATCGTTCGGCAATTGACCCAAGATTCTCTTTCTTACTTTTCCAAGACTACCCAGAATGATTTGTTCAATCAGTTGAATTGGATCATTTTAGACTCATTGTGTTGGTTCCAGGAGCAAGATTCCTGGTGTGCCCATTCGAGCCAGTCAAAATAATTACATAAACGCGCAGTCATCCCACGCCGATTTGAAAAAGTCCCAGACTGCGAGGATGGCCCAGGTTCTTCAAGATCTTTGAAGATATCCTAGAGTTCAGCTTCTCACGGGCTCTCCATCCCACAAACTGGATAAGACAAGCCCTAAGTTATTGATGGAGGTTTGATTGACAGCACCTTCTGGAACTTTCAACATAGTGAAACCACGCTTCACCGCGTTAATGGACGAATTTTCAAGCATTGTAATAACTCAAATTCACCCCCCACGTTCATAACTAACTTTCATGCTTCTGTTCAAAACTGCTCTCAAGAATTAGTTACCAAAGATTGACGCTGAAATCACGCGTTGTGTATTGACTTTGTTGTGGAAAATGGGTCAAACCCTGCTGCCACGTCTGCAATTGAACTTGCACTGACTGTGAAGAAATTATGCGCATCTAGATAGAATATTGGAACAAAGTCTCGACCCCCACACTCTCACCTCCAAATAAAATGCCTGCGGCCCAGAGACATTACAAGGTTTACAGAAATCTCTTCCTTCGACTTTCTACCTTGACCCCCAAATTGTGCCTTCTACCCAGTTCTCGCCCAACGGCTGTTGAAACGCCGTATAATAGTACTTGTGCGCTGAAGAAATGAATTGACATTGGAGGAAGAACAAATCCGTGAATCAGAATGAGGGATAAATCAAATCGTTTCTACATTCGAAAAAAGAAGAAATCCTCACAATCACCCAGACACAATTAGGCTTTCTTGGAGTACAGGAAAGTAGGATTGATTTCTGCAGCTTCCGGACCACGCATCTAAAAGCTGCTTAGTCTACACCATACTAAAAGCAGCTTAGTCTACACCACACTAAAAGCAACGCTGAAGTCCTAATATCCATGTCGACGAAGAAGCAGAACACGACAGAACCAAAGAACGAACGAAAAATATATAAAACGAACGAAACAAATAAAGAGCGAATGAAAGACGAAATCAACACATCAACGAACGAACAACCAAACGAATGAAAAATGGATTGACAAACGAATGAAAACAATGGGACGACAAATTATTTAAAAAAAGATGTAATTTTGTCTTTACAATGAAATATTTAATATCTTAGGAAATGCAAAACACATGATAACCATAATTGGTAAAGAAAGGTGTTTGTTTTGTAGAAGAATGTATTGTATTATTATAAGCAAACGGTGCTAATGGCAAAAGAGTTGTCTAATCATCTTGTTGATAGTTGATGGTACATCCTAAATACTGCTCCAAAACTTGATTAATACACTCCGTTGTCTATCTGTTTGAGGATGGAATGTCGAAGATAGTTTTATATCTACTTTTAGAATCTTGAAAAGAGTCCACCAAAATCTTGATACAAACTGACTTCTCCTATCTTATATAATATCCTTGGGTAATTCATGATAGCGATAGATATTGTTAAGAAAGAGTTTAGTTTTTTCTTCACTTGTGATGGATTTTGTATATGATACAAAATGTGCCATCTTGGTAAAATGATCTACTATCATGAATATAAAGTCATAAGTACCTAAGATTGGAAGATCTGTGATGAAATCCATAGAAACAAAAGACCATGGTTATTCTAGAAAGGATAATGGCTAAAGAAGTCAGTAAGGTTAATGACGAGGAGTTTTTGATCTTGAGCAAAGATCACAAGATTATACAAAATCTTTGACTGCTTTCCACATTTGGAGCCACCAATAATCCTTTGATATTAGTTCCAAAGTTTTTTTGTATCCAAAATGTCTTGCTACTGGAAAGTCATGACGAGCTTGAAGAACGCGTAATCGAGCTTCACCTTCTAGAACATATAGGCATCCCTCAAAATATAATAGATTCTTCTTGAATTCAAACTTGAAAGTATTATGAGACTTTGAAGGATTTCCCTTAATATCACAAATAAGAGGATCAGAAGACATACTTGACTGAACTTACTTAATGAAAGTTGAATCAACAGTTAGTATTGATTTCATTGCTCAAAGATGAAATTACTCTAGCTTCAAGAGAATTGTCTGTTGTTGATCGAAAGCAACATCTCTTTCTTTCGGTTTAAGGTAAGTTCATTTAGAGAGTGCATCTGACAAACCTTGTAGTTTTCTTGGTTGTTAAGTGATCTTGAATTTGAATCTTGAAAAAAACATACTCCAATGGATTTGGTGACGATTCAAAATACATAAAATATGAAAGGTTCTTGTGATCCATATACATGTTGATTGGACTAAGAATACCTTCTAAATAATGGCACCATTCTTGAAACGAATCTATAATTGCAAGAAGTTCTTTGTTGTGGATCTCATAGTTGATCTCGACTATTGAAAATTTTCTAGAATAAAAAGCTACTAGGTGAAGTTTATCATCTGTTCCTATTTTTGACAATATGGCACCCAAAGCAAAGTCTAATGCATCTGCTTCTATGAAAAAATGTTTTAGAAAAATTGACCCAATACAAGATTAGTGTAGAAACAAAGGTTGTCTTCAATGCTACTTTCTCTTCTTGATTCCATTGAATTTTGTCTTTACAAGTCAAATGTGTAAGTAAAGCTGCAACATGAAAGAAGTCTTTGATGAAGACCTGATAGTAATTCGCAAATCCCAAAAAACATTGAACATCTCTTACCGTTTTTGGGATCTTCCAATCCATAATAGTTTGAACTTTCATAGGATCCATCGTAAGTCTATCATTTGAAATGATATATTCCAAGAAGTCGACTTGAGTAGTGTAAAATATAATATTTTCTATCTTGGCATAAAATCCCACATCTCTTAGTTTTTATAACATACGACGAACATGAAGTTTATATTCTTATATGTTCTTAAAATAGAATAAGATGTCGTCTAGATAACGGACCACAAAATCATCTAAAAGTTTCCAATGACATCATTCATTAGATGTTGGAATGTTGCTAGTGCATTTGCAAGTCCAAAAGGTATGACATTATATTCAAAATATCTATACCTTGTTCGAAACACAGTCTTCCATTTTTCTTCTTCCTTGATGCGTACCACATTATATGTTCCTCATAGATCTATTTTTATATAGATCTTAGCTTGATTCAAGTGATCAAAGAGTCCAGATATTAAAGATAGAAAGTACTTGTTCTTGATGGTGATTTTGTTGAGTCCTTAATAATAGACACACATTCGCAATGATCAATCTTTTTTCTTCACAAATAAAATTGGAGCTCCTGTTGGAGATTTAGAATAGCATATGAAGTTCTTGGCCAAATTTTCTTCAATATACTCCTTCAGTTTAGCCAACTCATTTTGTGATAAACTGTAAATTGGTCCAAATAGTGGTTATATTCCTTCTTGAAGGTCAATTGAACAATCATAGGAACGATGTTCTAGAAGAGTATCTACATTTTTCTTCTCAAATACATCTTAAAAATCTTAACATTGGCTTAGAATGCCACTTGAAGTCTTTCCACCTGTAGAAATAGGTACGACATAAATGACACAAGGTGATCCTTTTTTTGCGGCATACGTGAAAGCTCTTGCACTTACTAATACAAGTTTGATTGTACTAGACTTATGACTTTCTATTAGATTAACTAGATTTTAGGGTTGAATCTAACAAGGCAGAGGCTTTGTGATGTTTAGGTCCTAGAATAACATAAATCATAAAACAAGAAGAGGGTTCTGAGGAGAGAATAGGACCTTCACTAAGTGTTGTACAAGATTCCAATGACATGATGTCGTAATGTAACACGATTAATAGGTGAAAGAATGTGGAGATTATTATAATTTAAGAGATCTTTGTTCAAAGTATTAGAACAAATTATCTTAGAAATATAGTTAATAGCCAAAGGGATAGAAAAATTAAAAGGTATCAATGCTGTCTTTTAGAAAGGTGACTTCTACTTACTTTGTAGTACCATAAGTAAGGCAAATCAAAGTATATTGGGAAAATAAATGATATAGGAATCTTTAGAAGAAAGTTAAGAGTAAATTCTAGAAAAAAATTACTTAGAAACTAGATATTGATACTCAAAGAGAGCTGGTTATGAACCAGGGTCGAAATCAGACCCTAAGGCACAAAACCGAGTCTCGACAACGACTCCGGGACTCTTTGGCAGATCGGAGAGAAGGTTGGATAGGGTTTCTATGGGCGTTGATTTTGGGTGATTTGGAGTTGATATGAATTTGTAAGAGCTTTGCAAAGTTGAGTTTTTTTTCGGATGACTTGGATTTTATGAAATAAAATAGGGTTTATGTTTTGAGTGATTTCGAGAGTTTTGTTGCAGATCTACGGGTAATTTTTTTGGATTCATGGTTATAGTTGTGTTGAATATATGTTGTGAATTTGAGCTTGATCTAACGGTTGAACTGAGAGATATTGAGGTTTAAGTGAGTCAAGGTCTTAGAAAGTAGAATTTTAGGTCTAGTGAGGGTTTTTAAGATTTCATGAAATCTACTAGTTGGATTGGAGTAAAACTTATGTGAGAGGATATTAGACTTGTTTTACTATGTCCATGAGAAATTTGAAACCAATCGAACGGCACACAAAAGAGAAATTGGCTCTGGAAGGTTGGCAACAAGATTGGAGAAGGAGGCCGGCTAACACCCGAACACATTTTTGAGGTTTTCGTCAATTTGGTAACTCCGATCCTTTTCAAAAAAAATTTGCTTATTTTGAACTTGATTTTTAAGAAGTATGCAAATTTTGAATTGAGATCAACGGTTTATTCATTAGATATTGAGGTTTAAATCTGTCATAGGAATTACTAGGATTTGGATTAGGGTTTGGCTAGGGTTTGGTTTAGGATTTGGATTAGGGTTTGGATTAGGGTTTGGATTAGGATTTAGGGTTTGGATTAGGATTTGGATTAGGATTTAGGATTTGATTAGGGT